CAGGATTAGAACTGTCGCCCCAGGACGAAAATCACGCTCTTTATTAACCATGGTAGGTAACTGAACTAATCCGGTTTTGTCATTAACCTTGGTTCATTCTATTTTCTTTGATTCTATTCATCTCGGTCCCTGCACTGATGTTGAATTGCCTGGTGAGACGCAGAAGGCATTGTTTATGTTTTGTTTGTTGATCACTGCCGAGGTAATTTCATCTCCTGCCGTGTCTGCCGGTAATCTCAACTGACAGCTGATCCAGTGCCTGCTTGATAAGGAAACGGCGCCAACAATGTCGCGACAGGGTTATGGACGAATGCACTTCGCATATCAGATTATACCCCATAAATATTACAGTTGTTGGTTATGATTTTTACAAGTTTTCTAAATTACTCACAATTAGTTTTATGGAATTACTAGCAGAGTACCCGTCCTTCGTACGGGGTTGGAATATAAGTATAAAATGCTTATTACAGTTATACTCAAGCTTTGCGTTTGCAATAAGGGAGGACACAGTTTGATAAAATTAGCTTTTTTAAATTTACAGTATTCTATAGTATTACACATCTACCATAGCCATAATGTTCTACCAATTCACCTAGACAATAGAGAAAAATAAATTATCAACAATAAGCAAAATATCACAAATTATTCATGAAATGAAAAATATAAACATAACTGTAAACAATCCTACTTAGACAGTTCTCATTGTGAATCACTTGTTGCTGCTTAGTTAAAATTAGCTGTTTTCATAAATGCAAAAAAATATAGTGCTGCACCCTGTTAGTAAATCTTATAACTTTTTAATGCTTTTCCATATCATAGAACCAATTTTTTTAGTTGAAACAGCTGACTAAATTCTTTAATTCCCTTTAAATATGAATACTCATAAGGTTAACATGGGGAATTACAGAGCCACTGGGGCAGAGCCCGAAAGGATTTTTGAGATAAGAATATGCCTATATGTTAATCGGGAATGTAAGCTATCATCATGCCAAATTTCAGCCCAATCCGTCCAGTGGTTTATGCGTGATTGAACTTCAAACAAACAAACAAACAAACAAACAAACACACAAACTTTCACATTTATAATATTAGTAAGATTTACACATGCATATTAAAGTGTCGATCGTTAAAATAAAGGTTTACGCGAATTTATGTATTGAAAGGCTTTGGAAAAATGCACATAAAATTCACTCACAATGTCATTATTTTGTTGTCGGTTTCGACGCTGTCAACGCCTTCGAACTAGCTGATACAACCTAAACACAATGGTGTATTGCGGGGTTTCCTAGCTTGCAGAACTGTGACTGGCTCTAAAATTCCCGAAGTTTGATACATTGCTATATTATAATGTATTGCACAGTAAAGTAAATTATCAACCATGGTGGATTTCTAAATAAGGTTATGCATTATATTACCTACATGTATCGAACTCTAACTATTGTAATTTAGGACTCACGCATCGTAGATTACGAGGGAAACTAAGTAGAAGGTTAAGGAATATTTTCGAGAAATGTAAGACTTAATTTGTCAAGGAGAATTAATATTAAATTTAAAAGCATATAAATTATGCATTTCTGTTCACTAAAACAAAAGCGTCAAATTTTAAAATTTTCAGAGGTTATTATTTCTTTGTATTCTTAAACTAGAAATGAAATAAACTTATTTTAGTGGAACTTTAATATATTATTACTATGCTTAGCTAAAAGCCGGTTTAGCTATGGTTAAGGTACTTTCCTTACTATGGAACAGTTAAGGTACGTTCCTTACTATGGAACAGTAAACAGTTAAGGTTTCTTGCCATGGAACAGTTAAAGCCTCTTACTATAGAAAACTCTTAGCTAATTTTCATGAATATGGGACAATTTAGGTACTGTTCCAAACTGGAAAAGGTAATCGTCCCACGGAAAACTACACCTATGACTATAGCATCATATATTGCAACCCTAAACCCTAACTTTTAGACCAATATTAAGCTCTTTACTGACAGATCTGACATTTCTACCAATACAGTTATTATTGTTTGTAGTATTATTAAAATAAAAACAAACAGAAGGCCTAGCTTAATATGAGTACTTTATATCGATATAAATCATCAATCAAAAATTGTATCCTATTAAAAGTAATTGCAAAAATAGAAAATCGGGAGCGTAGCCAAAATGATAACCCGTTGCAGTGACCTCTTGACCTTCCGCGATATTTGAGAAGTTGATCTCCCGAACTCGTGGACCCGACAAAAAGAAATGACGTCAAACTTTTTTGACTCCCGCACACGACTTAGAAATGTTCAGTTGTAGTTTGGACCTCTCTCGAAAAAAAAGAAAGGCTCATAATTCAATTTTTGTAGCATTCCCCTGAAAAAAGTTCGGTTTTCCCGACACAAGTGCATTGTATCGTAAAAATACCCATACCAATTCCATTCATTCCTTTGTATTTGTAATTTTTACGAAACACTTTACAAAACTAATGAGGACGCAAAGTAGCACTTTGAGTGCGAGGTATAAAACTTTCGAAAACCGTTTACGCCTACGCACGATCACACGACGTGTACGGAATAGTTTATCGAGTTCAGAAAAGATTTTTTACGCACCGTTGCAAATAATTTTTCATACAGCCTATATTATTCTGAGCTGTTATACTTACTCACGCGTCAAGAATAAACACTAATAACTTGCTTGACTATTTTGTTACATTTATGTAGCAGGTTTAACTAAACATATTTAGACATTTCCGAAAACTCTCTGGTATTAAAGAGATTTTGAATTCAAATCCTTGTAAAGTTTGTTTCCGGATATGTAAAAATTAAAAATATAAATAATTGATTAAAGCCTAATTTGAGATAGGCCTAGGTGCATCGGTAACTTAAAAAATCGAACATTAATATACCATCATCAAACAACCAACGTCAAACAACAAACTTTCAAAACTGCTTCAAAACTAGGGGATGAAAACTGGTTTCAAAATCACTTTAGTAAGTACCTAAGTACCCAAATATTCCAGAGGTATCAAAGTGTTAAACAAATTTATGTGGGAAATTATAAAAACTTGATACAAATTTGAGTAAGATCAATAGAATTATTCAGAGCCACGTTTCTGAACTAGATTCTCAAAATGTGTTTCCTACTATCGTTTGACCTCAATTTCCCGCAGTCTGCGACTTGAACCCGTGAACTTACAACTAGTTAACAGTTAACCTCAACCATTCCCTACTTGAGCTAGGTTTAGTCAATGAATAGCCTACAACAAACCCCGGGTTTGTATTCATTGGTTTATGCGGAACTTTTGATCCCAGCAACCAATTTGTTGTGTTAGGGTTATGTTTGCAGCTGTTTTTAATGGTATTAAGATAAGCTAAATGCGAAGTGGGATTTAACAAAGATCGTCTATTTAAAAGTCATATACAACGTAAAAATTAAATGGCAATCAAAGTTTAAGGTGTTATGTTATTTTATTTTAATCATAAGCTAAACATAAACATGAAAGCCGTACCTGCTTATTTTCGTCTTGTAGATGTTTGTCAAGATCTTGCTCAATTTTTTCCCGAGCCAATTCAAAATATTTGTGGTAATCGAAAACCTTTTTCTTTGAAGGCCTTCCTCGCGGAAACTTAATCATATTTTATAGAATCACAATCACGTTTTGTTTGTTTATTCTTCTCTTAAATGGTCAACAATCGTTTTACCCGATTTAATGTGAGGTTTGAAAACAGCTGATTGTATTCGGCAATAATGCTTTTACGACATTGGTCACAGCCAACTATATAACGGTAAATGAATTGCAGACGTTTCCTGACGTCATAGGAGCATTGTTGTAAAACACGTAGCGTAGCATTGACCGTTGTACTTTGAAAAAATAAAGACAATACAAGTTTAAAACCCAAATTCAGGGAACACGGTTGAATTATAAAGCGTATAAAAGTTTAATAAAAAAATAAACACTTGCTATTTTCTTAATTAGTATAAACAAATTAACGGTTTAATCAGCTGTTTCAATCTTATGAAAAAGGAACACGGTTTCAGTAGCAATTACAATGTCATGTTAAGTTTGTAAAACATACCATTTGTTCTGCAAGTGCTTCGCAGCGTGGCAAGAATATTTAGAGAATAATGTGGGTCTCTATATCTACTGAAAAAAAAAAAAAAAAACAGTACACACACTAACCATGCAAATCACACAGGCGAATCTCAATCCTACTAATTGCTTAGTTTAATAAAAATATCTAGTGCATTTGCATTGAACTGTGTGGCGGAATCAAAACTAATAACTTAATTGTAATGTAAACGTATATAATGTGAATCAAGAGATTAACTCAGGGTGAAAGTAAACAAATATAACAGCTGATGTATTTTAAACGTGATTAAATAAAGCCCTTTGATTTTTGTTAGGAGATAGTTTATAGAACTTATTGATCATCTTCACATCCTTTAGGGTTCTAGTCCAGAACCTAGACTACACACATATTAATTACTGCATGCTAGACCTAAAGCGTCGACGCATGACCACATACATGAAATCCATTTGTGACTAGCTGGGTTTGAACCCAGGACCTCAGTGACACGCATGATAAGTTTCCTATCAAGTTGTAATCTGATAATTTATTTTAAGCAAAATGTACCCTCTTCCAGGAGTTGAATGAAATTTACCTGAACGGATGCAAACGCAAAAGAATTGTTAAAAATGCAGATGTATTAAATAGTTTTTGGCGTCCCGGTAATTCTGTTACATAATAGTACAAAGTAACAACTTTATATACTATGTTACTAAAAGGACTCGACAATATAAAAGGCTATGGTGTCCTGTTTGCTATTTTTTAGGTAACTCATGAAATTTTAGAGGGAACGCAGGATGATCTAATAAACTACATTGCAACCAAGGTGTCTCATGTAATCCAACTTAATCATGATTAATAAGCTGTATTTAAAGTAAATACGATGTCAGCTGTGTGGGGTCCTCACAATCAACTGTCTTAGCTCATTACAAATATCAATAGGATATATGCTTACCTTCCCTTTGTGACAACATATAGAAGATCCGCCTCGATCACGAACTTCACCATGAAGTTTAGATGAACAAAACGCACTCACATTATCCACTGCCCCAACACTATGAATCCGGATTCGACTGTCTGGAAATAATCTCGCACAGCAGTACGATACAGGACGTTTTTCTTCAGGTAGGCCTAATATTGCCCTAACATCATCTTTAAGTCGCAAGTATATAGGTGGTAAAATTGCCCCACGGTTTTGGTGTTCAACGAGTCTTTGTTTTTCGTCAGTTATTTCATCAACTCGGTTTCCTCTTTGCCTTCTTCTTCTTCTTCTTCTTTCAGTCGTAAGGGTCAAAACTCGTCTCCGAGGCATAAAAATACAACAGGTCTACTCTTTCACAGTTCAAACATAACTTCGTTGCTGAAAATAAACATTTCAGTTAAAAATATTAGAAACACGGTATCTGATGAAAATCCAAACAATAAGACTGTTTTACAAGTCAGCTTTTAGATAAAGTTCTAGCTTCTACTAATATGCCACTGAAACTTGTTGATTATAGAGAAGTAATTTACCTACCTCAATAATTATACTACGCATTTATAGTTGAAAGTAGCTTGTATAAAAATCGTTTTCCTAAACAGCTGAGTATAATGTTTACAATATGAAATTTGTTGACAATCTAACTGATGGATCAGCTGTTAAATTACAATTTACATTTAAACATTTTTAAAGAAAGTTGGCCAGCATCAATGAATCTTTGAAAGTAAAATCATTGACTATTGGATACTGAATTAATTTAAATTTAAGGGGGACAAAGCCCCCAAGGAAATTACCTTTTTGGTTAAAAACTTATTCACTTCTCCGTCAGGAGCTTTGAAATGACACCTCAATCGAAAATTTGTTTAGTAGTCGGACT